CCCCCCCCTTCGTCACAAAATTGTATTACTTAAGAATCAAGTTTTGTATGAGTCGTCACAAAACCACCAACCTTCCCCCCCTCCCTATAGCGTGACGTAATTTATGGACAAGCCCTAAGACGATTTGGCATGCTATAAACGAAACTTAAAGCCATTTCTTTCAAATGTGCATTTTGGTTCCAATGCCAAATAACTTTTTTAATCAATTGAATCTTATTTGTGACCTTTTCTCGCAAAATTTCTCTCTTTAATAGCTTTTATACATTTTCTATGTAGTTTAGGTCTCTGGCCAACTCAAAAGTGGAATTTTTTGGGATGCCAAAAAATTTTTAAAGAAATTTGCTGTATGCTCCGGATTATGTGTTTGGCGGATTATGCCGTGGCATGGTGCTCTATCTTACATTAATATTTTCTTCTGCTTATTTGGAAACCACTTCTTCAATTGAAGTCAAAGACAATATTGATCCTGTTTTAATATTCCATCCACATACTAAGGCCTTTTCTACTAATAACTGACTAAAACTTGACTTTAGGAGGGTGTTTAATTGTCTGGATTATACAACCTTCATGAAATTTTTATTGGAAGCTCTTTTCACATATTGGTCCTTTTGAGTCATAATTTTCTATGGTAGACTCATCACTGAAGCAACCTGGAGAAAGCAAAATAAAAACTAATCACTAAATACCAACACTGGAATATTAGGAAAAAATAAAATTTCATTATAAAATCATTATAAAAAAAATTTTTTTTATAATAATGATTGAACTGAACTTTTTTGACAATTGTTGACAAGGGGGAGGGGGGAGGTCAATTAAAGTTGATGTCAACAATTTTTTTTTTTGAGTTTTATTGCTTAAATAACGGAAAATTTGGCTGAGTTTGTAGCGTAGCTTCTTTGTTTAGGGAGGAGGGGTGTGGGGGTTAATCAAAAATTGACATAATTAAATAGGGGGTGGGGGTGGTTCCTGGAAATTTGACAAATTGTTGATAAGGTGGAGGGAGGGGGTAGGTAAAAATTTCAATAAATTTGTTGACGTAATGTTGTTGCCTCTGAATATCCTGAATATCTAATAGGAGGCCATTTGTCTTTGTTTCTGTTTATAGTGCATCTTGATATCTCACTTATCAAGTAATGCTTACCTTTCAGAAGATATTGAATAATTGCTTTTTTTTCAGAGCTGATGTCTTCTTTTTTCCCCATTTTGTTATTTAGAACTTTTAGACAATTTTTTTACTAATAAATTATTTTAAAACAGATAAAAATTGTTTTATATAGAAAATATCAAAGTAAAGTATACAAAATGTGTAAATATTGTTAAAAAATGGCTTAAAGTGTATTATAATACAAATTTAATGTAATTAAATCACAATAGTTAACAAAAAAAAAACCTGCACTTAAAGAAAACATAGTAAAACAGCACGACAGACAAAACACAAACATCATGAATTAAACAGATGCTGTTTGTCCCCTGAAAATGTTGGCACCATAAAATTAATTTATACTGCTAATAGCCAAAAAGTGTTTAGTTATAAATCAAAAAACATAAATCAGCAAATAAAGACATTGCAAACAAATTTAAATGGCACCTAAACTATTAAATAGTTGAAATTCTGCAAACTTTAAAATGGAAATTTATTATTTTTTTATTTTTTATTGAACCGTGTATATATATATATATATATATATATATATATATATATATATATATATATATATATATATATATATATATATATATATATATATATATATATATATATATATATATATATATATAATGTTAGTGTATTCTACAAATAGAGTGCTCAATGTTCTTTAAGAACAGAGCAATAATAATTTAGTAAAAACACTTATCTAATTTTTGTGCTCTTCAACAGCATGTTTCACCATCAGTTGGTTCATCAGAAAGTTTCCTGGTGAAACATGCTGTTGAAGAGCACAAAAATTAGATAAGTGTTTTTACTAAATTATTATTGCTCTGTTCTTAAAGAACATTGAGCACTCTATTTGTAGAATACACTAACATTATATATATATATATATATATATATATATATATATATATATATATATATATATATATATATATATATATATATATATATATATATATATATATATATATATATATATATATATATATATATATATATTTTGTTAATTCACCTCCCCAAGGCCGAGAAGGCCATTACAGATGAGGAGGCTACTAAGTTTTGGTTATAACCCTCTCTCAACTCTATAACTCTGAAACATGAACCTTGATGAACAAGGCCACTGTGCGGAGAAACAAGTTGAGCGCAGTGCTATCAGGGAAGTGGTGGGGATTGAACTCGGAACCTCTTGCTTATGAAGGGATTGCTCTACCACTAACCACTATAGCATTTACATATATATATATATATATGTAAATTAAAAAAAAAAAAAAAATTGTCCGGAAATTAAAAAAAAAAAAAAAATTGTAAAAGGTTTATTGAATTAATATAAAAACCTGCTCTGAAGGAGCATCACGAAGTTCTAATAAGATTGAATCTTCATTTGGATCTAGATTAGTTTCCGAAACTCTATTGTTATTCTAAAAAAATAATAATAAAAATTACAAACAATTGAAAATAATAAAAAGATTTTATTTAAAAAAAAGATATATATATACACGGTTTAATAAAAAATAAAAAAATAAAAAACTTTTCTGGAGATAAAATCTTACTTTCCTTGACTATTGTTTATTATTTCTGTATTGTATTTACTACATTTAACTATTAATTTTCAATATTTCTCTTTTTAGAGACTATTTGTTTTTTACAGGGCTGTTTAGTCGGAGTCGGAATTGCGGAAATTTTTATTGGAGTCAGAGTCGCTAACCAAAATTACAACTCTGACTCCAATAGTAAAACTTCTCGGCATTGCAGGTGCATGTACAAAATATTCAATTAATCTTATGTTCATACTAAACCTCAAATAACGTTTCATAAATTTGTCAAAAAAATGTTTTTAACTTATCGCGTAATATTTTTTAAAGAGTTCAAAGAATTTTTCAAAAATTTTGTTTTGGAGTCGGAGTTGTACTAAAAAAATTTTAACAACTGGAGTCAGAGTCGTTACTTTTTTTTTTTACGACTCCACACCCTTGGTTTTTTATTATACTATACTTTTTTTTATTATTCAGTAATATATGATAGGATTAAGGTTGCTAAAACCCAAATTGTTAATAATAAAAAAAAAAATCATTTTTGCTCATTTACTTGGTAGTCATTAAAAACTCATAAACATTTTGAAGATTATCACCCTTTAGTCATTTATTAATAGTTTTTAGTATTTTATTGTATTTGAGACAAATATCTCTTTCACTTAAAACACTTTCAATCCATTTTTGATATTTAATCTGTTTTTTAAAAGATCAACATTATGTACATGAAAACTGAAATTGTGTTTTTCATATTGGAGAGTAAACTATATCAGCCCTTTGCTCTTTTATTCTGGCGATATCAATAGCTGACAATCATCAACTCCCACACAATATCAACAAAAAGTCAACAAAGTACATCCATTGTTTTACCTTTATTTCCAAATTTAGTTTTAAAATATTTTTAATAGGTGCCATTTTTTATTAGTAATCTTTTAAAACTTATTTTTTTAGTGGTGCAATTACTACATTTGTTACAGCCCAATTACTTCATGTAATCAATTATTGACTATAAAACAACTTTCATTTCCATCAGCATCATTCATAGCTTTCAATAAATACAATTTTTTTCTGTTTGACCTCTCATGGAAACAATATATACAATCTGTTGACATTTTATCCTAAATGGCTACCTAAAAAACCTTAAAAACTTATAAACAAATATAAAAATTCAACTTTTAAAGAGTTGATTTTAATTTTAAGTCGATTTAATGCTAGTGCATTTTACAGAACACAAAACCAGCAAGAAGTGAAAAAAACTATTAAGACTTTCTAATTTTTAAAATTTTTTTGATAAGATACAGTTCAGTAAGAAATTATGGACTGATAAAAATGGCTCCGACTTTAAAAATTGAGCCCTCACTTTAAACCACTGTTAACTTGTGATCAACATTGATTAATATAATAACTTAGACAAGGGAGCAGGAAAGGGGGATGGAACTAAGGCTATTTAAAAACTAAATTTAATTTAGGCTTAATTTAAGACTGATTATTTTTTTGAAACCAATGTAATAAAGTCTATTAAATCAGTAGAAAAAAAAAGTTATTAAAATCAGTGTTGATCCTGGGTTAATGGTGGTTTAAGAGAAGGCACAATTTTTTAAGTTCAAAGTGGAGCCATTTTTAGAAATCCATAATGTCTTACTTAATCGTATTATCAAATTTCTAAAAATTAGGAAACCTACCATTTTTAGAAACTTAAAAAGTTTATAGAAGCTAAGAATGTCTGAAAACTTTTTAAGTTACTGATTTTGTATATTGACTTTTCAAAAATCTACTTTTTAGATTTGCAAATATTTTTTAAGTTTTTTAGGTAGCTACTATGGATTAAATGTCACATTTAAAAATAAAATGCTGCTGTGGAAAAAAAAAAAGAAAAAAAAAAAAAGAAAAGCCTGTAGGTAGAAAAAACTTGTTAAAATTTTAACAAATAAGTCTTTTTGCTATATATATTTGTTTTGTTTAAAATATATACAGCCAAATTGAAAAAATTGAAAATATATTGTGTTAAAGGGCGGGTTTGAACTCTCGCAAAACAACATCTATGACAGTGCATTAAAACACTGATCAATAGAATTTATGCATGTAATTAAAAAACATTTATAAACTCTTATACTGATTGCAATTAATCATCACTTTTTAAGTGGGTTCTCTAAATAAGCGGGTTCTATTAAGCGAGAAGTGGGTTCTCTAAATAAGTGGGTTCCATTAAGTGAGAAGTGTGTTTTCTAAATTGAAAAATATTTTATTAACTCTTATACTGATTGCGATTAACCTTTTCAAGTGATGTGTCATATTTCATCATATTTCAAGCTCTCTAAATGAATGCCGGTTCTATTAAGCGAGAAGTGGGTTCTTTAAATAAACGCAGCTTTATTGCATAGGATTTAATATAACCTAATATAACAATAAAAAAATATGTTATATGCAAATGTAAAAAATTCACTTACATAATGTTTTATACATGATAATGTGCAATATAAGAAAAAATTTCTAATAATTACAATGTACAATATGAGAAAACTTTAAAATTTTATTTTAACAATTAAAATTTTTTTTATATATTTTTGCTAGAAATATATAGATTGAAAAAATTTCAAAATTTATTTTACTAAAAAAATTGAAGTAAATAAGAAATACATATAAAAATGAGTGTTGTGAAATAGATAAGTATAGAAATGGTCAGTTAGCTAGGATATATATATATACATATATATATATATATATATATATATATATATATATATATATATATATATATATATATATATATATATATATATATATATATATATATATATATATATATATATATATATATATATAAAGAATAATACAGAAAAGGTTGGCGTGGAATAGACTTATAAAGACTCGTATTTCTATGGGTCCGTTCAGCTAGTGTAATATATATTAATGAAATATATATTTAAAATGTTAAATAAAAAAAATTTTTTTAGCCTAAAATATCTTAATTTTATATTATTATCATATTTTTTATTGTTAAACTTTTTATTATAATTTTAATTTATTTTTATTTTATATATTATTTTTTTTTATTATTTTGTTGCTTATTTGAAGCAGTTTCAATTTATGTTCCACTTTTCAATATAATATGGTTTATATTGTAAGCATACACTGGGGTGTCCCATGTTTATCACTGATAAAATTTTGTGTGGATAATTTTGATGCAGTCCCTCTTAAAAGTTTCTTAACGGTCCCACAACAACAGCTAAATTTTTTTATGACAATTGAAAAATATTTAGGGGTCCCCCAAGGGTCTAGAATTTTTGTATAAATGGGGTAAAATTGATCAAAGTAACTTTTTTTTTAAAATCCACCCCCGCCTTTTATTCAATTAAAACTAATTTGGCACTGTTCAAATAGCTATACATGTAAAACAAAATACTAAAGATTATATTCTACAAGTGACAAGTGTTTTTAGCAGAAATTTAACAAAAATTATTAAAAACAGATTTTTTAGATATCTTATATATTTAATTTTTACAAGTTTTTTACTTTTATTGTAGAATAAAGACTGTGGAGCAATGGCAAAGTGTAAACCTAACACAACTCGAAGTACTGAAATGATATGGTTGATTGGCCATCCATGTGACATAATAACTGGAGCTCGCCTTTCTTCAGGCTGCGATGTTTACTTCCATTAATTTTGTTTACTTCCAGAGGAAGCAGAAACTGACAGTTGCTCAGAGTGCACAGCATGTACACGACCAACTACTGCCCTTCTGGATGAAATCGAGATTACCGGTCCGACACAAACCAGGTATTGTTCAAAAGATTAAAGACCTTTACTCACAGCATGTTGGACTAATGAAACATCGTTCAAGGAATAATGCTAAGGATCAACAGAACCAAAAAGAATACAATGAAAAGCTGGATATTTTGTTTGATATCAGTCATACTGATTCTGACAATCTTATCAAGAATGACAAAGACCAACAGTTTCTAAAGTTGCAGAAAGAATTTAGAACCGGATGCATTGGATCTGTGGACAATAAAATGTTTTTCCGCGATAAGCGTTCAGCAAAATGTAAAAATTCAGGCAGATGTGGAAACTGAAAATAAAGATGAGGAAACAGCAGAATCATCAAAGTTGTGCTCCTCAGATGATGAAGAATCTATGGATGAATTTGTTGTAAAGTCTCTAATTAATGATAGACCGACCAAGCAACCCAAGTGTGCTGGTGTGATGACTTCAAAAGTGGCTGCTGTATTAGACCGCGCAAACATAAGCATACGTAAATCAACAATGATAATTGCATCAATGGTTAATGAAATTGGATGCTCCACAACATCTGTTGTTCTTTAAAAAAGTACAGTCCATCGTCAACGACAGTTTTTTCATTGTGAAGCTGCACATAAGATCAAGGATGACTTTCTATCTAGTAAGTCCGTCGTTCATTGGGATGGCAAACTACTACCTGACATCACAGGAGTAGAAACCAATCAAGTTAATAGATTGGCAGTTGTTTCTTCACTTGATGGAAGTTTATGGAAATTTTTCGCAATATATTATAAACTGTTGGGAGTTTCACATATATTATAAACTGTTGGGAGTTTCACATATATTATAAACTGTTGGGAGTTCCAAAGTTGACTTCTGGAACAGGACAAGTGGGATCGGAGGCAGTTCTTGACCAACTTAAATCATGGCAGTGCGATCAACAAGTCATTGGAATGTGCTTTGATACAACAGCCTCACTCTGAGCCTTCTCCAGAAGAGTCTGCACTCTTCTGGAGAAGGCTCTTGGTTGCAATCTGCTATGGATGGCATGTCGCCACCATATGTTTGAGGTATTGTTGTCTAATGCATATGGAGTGTGTCTAGGTCCGTCAACTGGACCGGATATTTTGATTTTTAAAAGATTCCGAGAGAAATGGTCAGAGTTGGTCAATCATCAGCCTATGCCACGGCCAGTGCCATTGGTGAGTGCAAGTGACAATCTGAAGGAGTTAATTGCTGAGCAGCTTCAACTCAGCCATCCACGAGATGACTATCTAGAATTTCAAGACCTTGGTTTTCAAGTCGAGCCATTGCTGATGCACCCTTGAATGACATTCTATTGATTCAAAGGCTGCTTACGTATGAAGATGCTGCTTTGCAAACAAAAGGTTTGAAGATGATGAAGTGTCACTCCTGGTACCTCAGCCAAGAGCTAGCAACAGTTTCCTCGTTCTCTCAGCATATGTTTTCTAAAGAAAAAACCCAGCTTGTGTCGACAATGAAAAGTGATTGAGGATCACATTTGCTCAAGTCTCTTCCAAAAACAACAGCGGAACTACTCATATCTCGAAGTTTCTTCTTAGATACTGCCATTGATGATAGCTTTCTCGATATTCCAATGGAAGAGTGGCACGAAAACCATTCCTATCAGATGGCACGTCAACTTGTCAATAACTTGCCATGTGTTAATGATTGTACTGAGTGGGGCATTGCTCTCATCCAAAATTTTAATGCAGCAATAACAAAGAATGAAGAACAGAAACAATTTCTACTTCAGGTTGTTGAAAAACACAGACAAGACTTTTCCAAATACAATCGTGGCAATCTTGTGGACATTTAGATTTTAGAAGTTAATTATCATATTTTAGAATGAACAATTGAAACCTTGTTGCCATTTTGTATAATAAATTATTGTCTTTAATTGTGTTCAAATGAGCATAAAAAAGTTATGTTTTCTATAGCTAAGTGTTAAAATATTTAAAGTTATAATTGGCTTTGCTTGAGCTTGAAATCATATAAAGATGTGCTATAAACCAATTTTATTCTAAACTCAACCAGGAACTAATCATTTTTACTATATTTTTATGATCGATTAGACATGTGATCTGTATTCTGTAAACTCGATGATATCGAGCCGTCAAATACCATTAACAAAAATTCTGCGACATCGCTAAAACTTTATGACCCTTGGGGGACCTCTAAATATTTTTCAAATGTAATAAAAAAAATTATGGGTTGTTAAGAAACTACAAAGAAACTTTTAAGAGGGACTGCATCAAAAAATTCAAAAAAAAATTTTTTTGGGACACCCTAACATTTTTTTGATGCTTAACTTCTAATCAAGAATTTTCTAAACTAAAGGTATAAAATAAATTTATTTATAATAAATATATTTTCTAAAATAAAGATATAAAATAAAAAAAAACTAATAAAAATAAAGATAATAAAAACTAAAAATAACGATAAACCTGTTCTTTTAACTCTTCCATTAACTTTTCTTTATCTTTTTTTAATTGGATAATTTCATTACGCTTGATCTTTGAATTTGACAGTTCGAAATGTGCAATTTGTGTGTCTTTTTCAGAGATTGAAGATAACAAATTATTTACCCTAAGATTAAAGATTTAACAAACTATTTACGATGCAAAATATTTTTCTTGTATTTTTTCATGAAAATTAATAAAAATCTTTATATCCTGTTTTTTATGAAAATTTTCTTGATGATGGTGCACCTGATAATAATGATGTTTTTGAAGATAATTATCATGGTGCAGCTGATAACATGAAAATATCCAATGAAAATAATACTGACAGTGTTGCTGCTAATAATAACGATGATAATGAATACAATCAGTTTCACATTGAACATGTATAAAATCATTTTATTTAAAAATTTTATAAAAATTGATACCTTATATTTTGCAATTCATCAGAATGTCTTTTTCGAGTTGCTATCATTGAACGAATGAGTGCATCTTTTTCACTCATCAAAAATATTAAAAAAGCATTTTTTATATTTGTGATTGCTTTCTCAAATTGAGAAAATTCAGATTTACTTGCTGATATATTTTCACATTCAATGACAACATTAACACTTTCTCTAAGAGCATCTTCTAATACCGTTATTCTTTCTTTGTTTTTTGCAATCTCATTCTTAAAAAGAAACTTCTTAGGTTTAAGTTTACATTATTTTTACAATTATAAGTTCTTTTTCTTAAATTTTAAGTTTACATGACAATTTACTAATATATATATATATATATATATATATATATATATATATATATATATATATATATATATATATATATATATATATATATATATATATATATATATATATAAATATATATATATAAATATATATATATATATATATATTATATATATATATATATATATATATATATATATATATATATATATATATATATATATATATATTTATATAAATTTCATTTTGTGAACGTCATTTCAATACACATTTTATGATTTTACACTTTGAATTGAAGAGATAAAATATTAAAAAATTAAAGTCATAAAAATTATTCAAAAATTACCTTTAGTTCCTCAACTTGATTTTTTACTTCAATGTCTGTTTTCAATTTTTCATTTACAAGTAAATGTTGTTTTTCTTTTTCAAAGTTCTGAGTTTTCTTTATTAATGCTAACTGTTTGCCTTTTTCTGCGACTTGTCTTGAAAATAAAAAGACACTTATCTGTATTTTTACTCAAATTTTCAAAAGTACTTTGTTTGATAAAATTATAAAAAAATTTTAACAATTTTATTTAAACAAATTTTACTTTAATTTCTTTACTTAAACACAAAATAATTGAGTAAAGTAACATTAAAAATCATACCTTTAAACTTTTAACAAGAAAGTTTTTTTTTTAAAATCTCAAATAATAATTTTGTTAATTAGAAGTAAAAACTCTAACTGACTCTCATAATTTAGAGTAAGGACAAATAAATTGGTATATTAAAAATGACTAACGACTGAATAAATTTTTTCAACACTATTCAAGTTGGCAATTAATAGAAAATAAAGAGAAAACAAATGGTTTGTAAAAGACTATAAAAACTAAGATTGGATAATGATAATATTATAATTTATGAATAATTATTCATAAATTAAAATTGAAATTATTATTACAACAAAAATTTTAAGTGCTTCAATATTCTGCTTTCACTTCAATATTCTGCTTTCACTTCAATATTCTGCTTTCACATTATTTTTGTTAAAAATGACTTGTTTTTCTATTGCTGATTTGTTAACAATAATTATATTCTTAACAAATCAGCAGTAAAGAGAATTGAAATCCATAGATTGTCAAAGAGTAATTTGTTGGACTCTAGATAAGATGATAAAAATCTGTTTGCAAATAGTATGAGTGCTGATTGTGTGATAGTTAAAAGAGTCAGAACAATATATAGAGTCATTTTCAAAAAGGCAAAAAAATAATATTCAGTTAAACGCTCTTTAAATAAAAAATAGAGAGTATTGAAGAAAGTTCTGGGGAACACTGATGTGTTACCAGTTTTAAGAACACTTTGATGTGTTAAAGGTTGTAAGAACATTTTGATGTGTTATGGGTTGCAAGAACACTTTGAAGTGCTACAGGATTATACTTGTATGAAACACATGTTGTAGAAGAGTTTAAGTGTGAAATAACTTTGGTAACAAAAGCTAGAGAGATCATATAACTAAATAAATAAAAATATTTTCAAACAACTTTTTTTTGTCCAGTCTTCTCCATGTATACTAGGTGGTATACACATATATCATATAAACATTTAAACAGTCTACACCATTTAAACACACATCATATAAACATTTTATCTCTTAAGTTTTTTAGTTGATTTTTTCTATTACAAACTTATTTATAATATTGTAATTAAAACTAGTTAAGACTGTAATTAAGTTCACTTTTAATAGAAAAAATAAATATAAAAAGAAATTTTAACACACTTTTCTAATTCAATAATGCGATTTAACTTTTGCGTATTTTCATCCTGCAACTGCTTCACTATTTGATTATCTTCTGCTTTTTTTTTGTCACTAATTAATAAAGATCTTCTTTCTTGCTTCTCAAAGTTCTCAATTTTTGTTCTTGAATCTTGTAGATCTCTTTTTAAATCATTGTTAATTTGTTCAAACTAAATTGAAGAATTACATATATATATATATATATATATATACATATATATATATATATATATATATATATATATATATATATATATATATATATATATATATATATATATATATACATATATATATATATATATATATATATATATATATATATATATATATATATATATATATATATATATATATATATATATATATATAATATCATGCATAAGTATCTGGAAAAGGAAAAATAACTTAATAAATAAAAAAGAACAAATAAATATACAAACTTGTAAAAATGAGATGGTTTGTAATATTAATAAATAAATTTAAGTTCTACAAATTTTACTACATATTACTATACTATGTACACTGCTCGTAAAATGAGCCGGAATAGCTCAGTTGGTTAGAGCGTTGGTAAAATTCTGAATTATTATTAGCCATATCAGCAGGATTACATGTTCAAATCGAAGCCTATTCAGTGTATAAGTTGATGTTTCCTTTTTGTAGATAGATGATGATGATGGTAGTAGATGTTTCCTTTTTGACTAGTAAATAAATAATCTAGTCGAATAAATGAAAATTATTGTTATTTTTTTATTTGTTAAAACTTGCGTCTCAGTTTTTAAAAGATTCAAAGCCTAATCATAGAAATGTTCAGAAATTATAGAAACCATAAAAACAGGTAACAAACATATTATACTTTTAACAATAAGAAGTTAGTCCAATATACAAAGTGAACACATTTGACTAATTATATTAAGTAATACAATTTTTGTATTTGTATTTAAAGTGTTATATTTCAATTGGTTAAATCTGAAGATTAAAAAAAATAACTTTCTTGAGTACAAATTTTAATTTTATGACCACAGCACATAAAAAAAAATATTTCTACTGGGTAATTCCATGTCAATTGAGCCAGAAAATTTCAAAAATGTCACCATACATCTCAGATTTTGCTGATTTTTATACAGTTGAGAGTACTTAGTAAAACAAAAAATCCTTGAAAATTTTAGCTTCTAGCTCCAAGAGGATCATGAAATATGATCATTTTACTTTTAACTAATCTTGGCCAGGCCCCTCTTGTCCCCTCAGAAGTGTGACCTTTGTTTAAAGGTTCCAAGTCACATAGCTTTAAAAATATTTGATCTTTTAACTTAAAAATTTGTACCTGGCTATTTTCAGGGTCGAAGAATCCAATGAAATAATCAGAAATGTAAAAAAAAAATTTTAAGTACTTGTAATTATCAATTTAAATAAATTTAGGCAATTTTTTATATACCTGGTTTTGATGCTCAAGAAAGCCATGTGGCCTTGATGATATAAAAAAAAAAAATTGTACACATTATTCTATGTTTAATGATCTTTCAGAAAACATAAAAATTATATGCAAGTATATGGATTTCCATATATGGTTAACGGGGCACAGGCCCCACTATTTTGTAGCAGAGTCTTGCCATACATTTTTCACTACCTTTCAGACTAGCTGGAACGATGAAAATTTTGGTATTTATGTAGTGTCAATAAATGTGCATTTTAAAATTAAAAAAGAGCCCAAGACACTAGGGGAGGGGGCTGGGGGGATGTGCCCCACTTTTTTGACCGGAATCTTGAGATGGATTTTTCAGTATCTTCCAGACAAGCGTGAGCTTTGAAACTTTCAGCATTTGTGTAGTCCTGATGAACATGCTTTAAAATAGTTTCAGGTCAGACGACTAGAAGGTCCATAGGGCTGGGGCACCAGGGACCATGCCCCACTTAGTTTCTCAAAAAAAAAAAAATTTTTTTTGTCTTAAATTTAAGATAACTTTGAAAATATTGTATTTAAATATTTTATTGCTTTATGCTTGTTCCGTTTTACTTCATTATTTACAAAATAAAATACAAAAAAAAGAAATTGTCAAGATAATGCTAAGATTAGCTTAGATGCATTGACGGTCAAAGTATACAAACGTCCATTTGTTGTTACAGGTGCATCAATTATACAAGTTATGTTGGTAATTGGAACCCAACACTCATCTACTCTAGATGGCCAGAAAAGTTTATTAAAAGGACCGTGCGGGTGCATAAATGTTACCATAACATCTTGCTCTATATTATCAACTTCATTGATCATACCAATCCAATCAAACGCATCATATTTACACATATTGAATTAACCAAATTTAAAGGCATCAATGTTAATTTGCTGATCATTTTGAGAACTTTGAATACCAGAAAAAGAAAAAATGGCTGTTATATGAACATCTTCACTTGTTCGTTTAAAGGTAATAGTATCTATAGATTCTGTTTTAAATTGATGATAGCTCCTAGTTCCAGGGATTGTTCTACTTAGCTCAAAACGTGTTTTCAAAGTGGTGCGCAATTCTGTCAGTCGTTCTTTTTCAATCTTGAAAAAAATAATCCCTTTAATATTGTTAGTACAGTAGTCAAACATTTTGTTACAATTCAATATCTGGTCAATATCTTTAATTTGGTATATAGTGACGTTGAAATATCTTGCAGCAAAATTTCTTGACCAAGACTCGGGTGTAAATGTTAATAACTGAATTTTAGTTTTTTGGTCAGAAACAATTAACTTTTCTTTTATTTCTGCTGTTAGTTTGTCTAAATCATCACATTTACTTTTGTCAATAATTTTTGTATGAGGAATTTTATGCTTCAGTTCTTCTTCCCTAACATTATATACTTCTGAAATATGCTCTTCATACTTTGACATTATTTTTATAACTTTACTTTTACCAACAGATAGCCGTTGATGCTTTGGAATGCCATGAAGTTTTATGGGGGATACACCTATTGTTTCCAAACTAACATTTAATGCCTCTCGTGACTTTTCAGAAGTAGTACATGAAATAGATTCCTCAAATTCACAATTATCTTGTTCATGAAATTTACTTATAATACCGTCAAAGCAGCTCCGACAAAGTGATATCCAGGCACAACATTTGGAAAATTAATTCTCAATTGCTTTGCCATGTCTAATGTTATTACATGACTCCCTGAAAAGAAAAGAACAATTTGATTTTAGTAATTACCTATGAATATGAAAATTATTTGTACTTATTTCCATATACATTGCATAACCAGATCAGCTTTTTTTCAAACTTTTATAAACTAGTAGATTTTAATTTCATTATTCAAAAAAGATTTTACAATAATTTTTTATCAACAATATTTACCTTTGATTGCTTTTTTTTTTGATTTATGCTTGTCCAATAAATTGCAACATTTTGTGTGCTTCTTTTCAAAGTGTGTACCAAAAATCTTTTCATGATGAAGGCAGATTGTTAAAATTTTATCATCTGTTATTCCAGATCTCCAAATAAATTCTTCTCTGGCATCTTCTCTATAGCAATCAAATTTCTTTAAATCAATCTTTCTACAATAACTTAGTTTATGACAAGTATCATTTAATTTTTTTCCAAAATCACATGAATCCATTTTTACTGTAACACTAAAAACATTTTGATATTAGTTTAAAAATGAGAAACCAATAGTAATTAATTCAATGAAAGCAACTTAAGCAATCACCATGGTAATACAAAACTAAATAGTGATTGATTTCTTTTATCTTACTTTGACAAAAAGAAAGTTTCCTTTTCACAAAGTTTAATTATAATCAATTTGTTGATGTTAAAAATGTTAATGATGACTTTAATAGGCAACAAATTTCTTCTATACTAGTGTAATGACAGGATGTTTTTTGTTACTGTAAATAGTTCTTATTTAATAAAATAACTTGCTGTTAACATTTTAGAATTAGCAAATATCAAATAAAATAATAATTTTGAAAAATTGATAAATTTCTTTTTTACTGATATAATGTTATGACAGGATGTTTTTTTCTGTTGAAAGTTAATTAAACAACTTGCTGTTACCATTTTAGCATTAAAATATATTAATCTTTTTTAAATTAAAATTTTAAATTATACAAAATAAATAGTAAAACCATTATTTTAGACTGTTTTTAATCTTATACATGCAAATCAAAATTCTTATAAACATTAACTTTCTTAAACCATTTTAAGAAAGATCATTGAACATAGAATGATCAAAAACCAAATTGAACAAATATAAATCACAAAAATTTGTGGAAGCAATGTTACCAATGTTTAGCAATGTGTTAAAAAAAAAAAAAAATTTTTTTTTGAGAAAATAAGTGGGGCATGGTCCCTGGTGCCCCAGCCCCATGGACCTTCTAGTCGTCTGACCTGAAACTATTTTAAAGCATGTTCATCAGGACTACACAAATGCTGAAAGTTTCAAAGCTCACGCTTGTCTGGAAGATACTGAAAAATCCATCTCAAGATTCCGGTCAAAAAAGTGGGGCACATCCCCCCAGCCCCCTCCCCTAGTGTCTTGGGCTCTTTTTTAATTTTAAAATGCACATTTATTGACACTACATAAATACCAAAATTTTCATCGTTCCAGCTAGTCTGAAAGGTAGTGAAAAATGTATGGCAAGACTCTGCTACAAAATAGTGGGGCCTGTGCCCCGTTAACCATATATGGAAATCCATATACTTGCAGATCAAAATTTTTATGTTTTCTGAAAGATCATTAAACATAGAATAATGTGTACAATTTTTTTTTTTTATATCATCAAGGCCACATGGCTTTCTTGAGCATCAAAACCAGGTATATAAAAAATTGCCTAAATTTATTTAAATTGATAATTACAAGTACTTAAAATTATTTTTTTACATTTCTGATTATTTCATTGGATTCTTCGACCCTGAAAATAGCCAGGTACAAATTTTTAAGTTAAAAGATCAAATATTTTTAAAGCTATGTGACTTGGAACCTTTAAACAAAGGTCACACTTCTGAGGGGACAAGAGGGGCCTGGCCAAGATTAGTTAAAAGTAAAATGATCATATTTCATGATCCTCTTGGAGCTAGAAGCTAAAATTTTCAAGGATTTTTTGTTTTACTAAGTACTCTCAACTGTATAAAAATCAGCAAAATCTGAGATATATGGTGACATGGCCTGGCTCAATTGACATGGAATTACTCTACTGACATATTTCTAAGAAACAACAATTGTCTTTTGAATAGACAAAAATAGTAAAAGAGCACTCCAAAAGCTTCAAAAGCATTTTCTATATATACGAGTATATTTAAAATAACTATCAGGTAGCCCCCAAATGTAGTCCACCATCATGTTTTTCTATTCTTGATAATGACATTCAAATTAAAATAAAAAATCTTTAGTGATTCAGGTCAGCAGTTGTATGACAGTAAAGATAGGTCAGTTTTTGTGCCAGCATTGCTGACCTATAATTTGAAGGCTATGGATGTATTTAAAAAGTGTTAACTCAAGAGTTAACTTAATGTCAAGAGCAGTGACAGCTTGATGAAGCTTAACTTAATATGCAGTGGTGACATAAGCACTTTTTAAAGTTAAAGAGCAGTTCCCACTTTATATTGCTCTTGCCCACTTATCACTTTCTGTGATAGTATCTCATAGTATCATGGCTGACCCAGAGGCAAAACAAACAAGTAAACTTAGTTGAACTGCCTTAAAAGTCTATGAGGAATGAAACTATTTTAAAGGTCCTCTATAGACTTCCTATTCATAGTCAGCATACATCAAGACCCTCAGTAACATCTTGACACTGGTCTGATCTTCTTTGAGATACACAGAGTAAGTTATCAGAGTGAACAGGTAGTTGTTTCCACTGTGAACGATTAATTTTGAGGCTCTAGGATGAACAGCTTATGATTAAGTGCCATTCACTAGGGTTACATCTGATACCAATAGCCTCAAAAAGACACATAATACCAGAAAAAAAGCCTATCATGCTTTGCGATGCTTTTTCTGATATGTTACAAGTTTCAATTGTAACTTGTAACAGATCAGAAAAAGCATCAAAAAACAAAAATCAACTGTGATTGGTTCAAATCATCTGTGATAATATACTTGTATGACTACTATTAAACAGTGTGAGAACATTCTAAAAAGTTCTGTAAGTTTCTTGAAAGTTCTAGAATATTTTGGCAAAATCTCTGACTTTCTAAACATAATTAGCAGTTGAGAAATATTATCAACTCTCTTGAAAACACAAAAATTTAAAAAAATTGATGTCTTGTTCATAGAAATAAAGTTTTTGTTTAACAACAACAACAGTTATTTTCTGTTTGTTTTCATAGAAACTGGTGAAGAAAACATACAATCAAAACAAAAATAAAATTTTATTACCATTAAAAAAAGCCACTTCACTGAGACACTAATATTATCAACAGTCAATGAGGCTAATTTTTTTTTTTAGCAGTAGTTACAACCCTACAACTCCAAAACATTAATGAACCTTAATGAACAAAATTGCTTCAAAAAGAAACAAGCAGATTTAGAATTTAAAAGCAACAATTGTTTTGAAAAGAAAAAAAAAGGATGTTTGTTGAAAATTATAAAAAAATAATCTAACATATTAGTTCAAACTCAATAGTGATATGACTTTTTGAAAAAAAAAATTTGGAAAAAAACTGGAAAAGCTTACTTTTCAAGTTTGCTTTCAGTACCTACCAGTCAAAACTACCAGTTGCATGCAAAAAGTGCAACTTCAATCAATAGCAAAAAAAGTGCAACTTCAATCAATAGCAAAAAAAGTGCAACTTCAATCAATAACAAAAAAAAGTGCAACTTCAAACAATAGCAAGTTTTTGCACTTTTTCTACCAAAAAATTCTATAAGGATGCAATACTTTTTGTTAAAAAGTTATAAATTATATTACTTAAAATCTCCCTGTCATATCTAAATTTGTGACTTGAATAATAATTTAAATGCACCACAGTATTGCAATTGAGGTTTTTTTTCGTGAAATTTTCAAACTTTTAATTTCGATAATTAAATTAAATAAGAACATTATTTACATTATTTTGTTCATACCATACCATGTTCAGTTAACCAAAATAAGTTCATTATCATGACATTTTTTATAGCACTATTTAACATTTAACATATATTTTGATCATTAAGCCTCAGAAACATAAGATACTGATTTTTTTCCACAAATGCAAATATATTGCCGAAGGATTTTTTTTTTTTTGCAAACTTACCACATTTTGTGCAAATGTAAATTCTCATTTCCATATTCTATATTTGTAAAAATAATATATAGCTCATGAGACCTGTTTATAGGGTTGTCTATTATTTGTAATACTTGAATAGAAGGATGGTCATTCTTCATGTAAGTTTCATTATCTTCAAAAAAGCAGAAATTTATTGAGATTATTGTACAACTTTCTGCAGCAGGCTCTTTTTACATTCTGCTTTTTTTTTGTCACTAATTAATAAAGATCTTCTTTCTTGCTTCTCTCTTACGTTCTGCAGCAGGCTCTTACCACGTTTTTTTTTTTTTTAATGCTAAAAAAGATACTCAGATTTTAAATATGTCAAATATTTTTTTGTCATGTTTATAGATCTCTAACTTTAAAGAAAATTTTCTCATAAATATGGAAGAGAGTTAATTAAATATTTAAAATACTGAAAACAAAATTTTTTTTTTGTGATTTATTTATAGCCAAAATTTGGGGAATTTACAGCCAAAAAGTTATAATCATCAAAATTATGTCATTGCTTTTGCAGTTTAAACCTGGTCACATTTCATCAAAACCAAAACATTGATACCTTCAAAAAAATTGAATTTTTGTGTATGAAGCTGTAATAAAATCGATTTACTAAAAACTGATGTTAAGTGGGAACATGTGTAGGGCTCAATTTAACAGCGGGACATTAGACATTGTCCAACTAAAACCTCAGATTGTCTGACCAATTTACTAAGTTATTGGACGTTTTGACCGACGAGAATTAAATTCTATATAAAATGAAGTACAGGAATGGCGTACAATCGAACGCAATTACTGACCACTCAAATGATTATTTTTGTTAACAACTTGACTACGACTGTTTAGATGTTTTGATAAGTTTCAGAAAAAATGTTAAGCTGAACTTTAACAAGGAAAAAAGTTAAAAAAATTGAAGAATAAGCAAAACAAAAAAATTGTTTAAAAAAATAATGGTCTTTTTAAAATCATAATTTTTTAAAATTTCAAAGTTTTCAAAAATATTTTAAAATAGTAATTTTTAATCATTTCATGCTTTAATTTGCAAGCGAAGTTAAAAAAACAACAACTTTTAAACAATTTTTTGTAAAAATACAAACAAAAAAAAAAGAAATAAATCATGGGAAGATTTAATTTAACTTATAATTTAAAGTTATTTAAAGAAATAATCTTTTAAAAATGGTTAAAAAGACACGGAAAAATAGTTTAAAACGTTTAAATTTATCATAAAAAACACATATCTACTAAAAAAAAATTTAAATATAACATTGAATCTACAAACAATGCATTTATTTTAACGATCAATATATGGATTAAAATGACTAAAAGTTACTAGCAGCGTAACATTTTTTTCATTGTATTTAAATTAATAAAACATAAAAACAGGCAATTGTAAAGAAAAAAATAAAAAATAAAAAAAATCTACAATGTAAAAAAACATACAATGTTGAATTGAAACTATTTTATTAAAAAAAAATCTGCAATGAAATATTCTAAATAACAAGGAAAGAAAATACAAACTATGCTAGACTAACGTTTAAATAAACTCTGAATAACAGGACAAAATTTGCTTAACTCAGTTCCGTAAAACCGTAAATATATATTTGAAAAATTTGATCGGACACTGTCCAACCCAAACAAGTTTTGATCGGACATTTTGTCCGGGACTTTATAAAAAAACTAAATTGAGCCCTGCATGTGCGAGATTATTTTCTTTATATTAATACAATAACAACTACAAAAGCTACTACTGCTGCTACTAATTTGCTGCTACTGTACTGTCATGTGTTATTGCATGTGTCATAAGATATGTCATTAATTCTCTTGAGTTTTTAATTAAATGTCTAATCTAGTGTATTTCAAAAATAAATCAAACTATCATCAATTACACATGCCATGGCAAAAAATGTTTTTTTTTTTCATTTACATTATTTACATGTCTTATAACATTTAAATAATAATAATAATAATAATAATAATAATAATAATAATAATAATAATACAAATTTAAAACATTTAAATAAAAATCAAAAATGCTTTAAACCTCTTTGTATTGTTCTTTTGTTTCTGTATATTCCATATTTATCTTCACCAATTCTATTTTATAATTTTCAATTTCTGATTCTAGTTTACTATTTGTTTCCAATGCTGATTTCAAGTTATTTTGAAGATCTTCTAGAGTCTTCTATAAAGTAAAATTATTTACTGAATTGTTGAAAATGATCGAACAAAATGGTTGAACAAATTTATTAAATTACACTTGATTGAGATAAGATTATATTTATTTAAAACTATTCACAAAAAGAAAAAAACCTTCTGTTGTAGATTAGCAGAACTCAAAGATTCACATTCTCTCTTCATGTCTTCGTAAACAACAAAAGATACAGTTTTTGATAGTTGTGTTTCTTTTTCTTTCTTAAAGCGAACTATCAAAGAGTTTTTTTCAGATAAATCAGCTTGAAGTGCATCAACAGTCTTTTTAAAACTTAAAGATGCATTTTTTAATTCTTTGATTTCTTCATTACATGTTAGAATGATAGCATCTTTGCTTGATAGTTCATCATTTATGGAAGATAACTAAAAATATAAAGAATGTCATTTGTCATTAATATTAAAATAAATATTTTTTGAAGTTGCTCACACAAAATTTGAAAAACCATTTATCATATATAGAAATAATATTTTCTAAGTGTTGTATGCACATTTAAATGTTTCAAATTGCATTTGTACAGAATTTGTCTCATTTGACTGTTGAGGATAATTTTTTTTATTCAAAACTTTCTCAACCTTAAAACTCTACAAACCTTGTTAAACAAGCTGTGCAGAGAAACATGTGAGGTTTAGGGTGGATTTAATTCTCGAAACTCAGAAATATATATATATATATATATATATATATATATATATATATATATATATATATATATATATATATATATATATATATAGCACAAAATGGGAAAATACATTTAAAAATAAGACAACTTTTTTAATTTTATTTAAAAACATTTTATTATTTAAGACTTTTTTCAACATATTGAAGTATATATTTATATTTAAAATGTATTTGTTAAAAATGGTATAAAATATAGTATATAATTGTAAAAATAAACATAACAAAAGCCATAAAATTAATAACAAACTTACTATATATACAAAAAAAATTATTAAAAATTATTTCAACAAATGTAAATATAACAAAAGAACCGGTAAATTATATAAAATGGTAAGAGTCATTTTAAAAACTTATTTATTCATATCGGGTTTTTCCAATCCTATTTAAACATCATTCTACAGATTCATCTGTAGAACTATCTTTATCGGTAAGATTTAATGAAGTTGATGGAATGGAAACTGACAGCTGTTCATGTGGAACTGGTGCAATTAATGACGGAATATCAGGATATGTTAGATTTGGTCTATTTGTAATATTTTTATTACAAATAGATCTTGATATACCAACCATACTTAGGTAGCAGTCTGTAGTGTGATTCTTTGGTTCTCTCTGAATAGCGTGTTTTTTTGAATCACACTCCAGCCAGCTATCTAAAGCTATTTTACAAGTACCACACCACACAAGAGGAGCCTATTTCTTGTCATGATCACCTATTTGAATCCTAAAGTACACAGCATATTCTGTTCATAGCTTGGTCCCATGCAATAATTGATATTTTGGCTGTTTTGACCCAATATAGTAACCACAAATATAACAAAACAGTTCTGCAGATAGTTTACTATCTGCAGACTTATTTGTATTAATTATTATAAAAAACTAAACCTCCTAAAGTAATATAAATAATTTTTTGTTGCATTGTATGATAAATACTACTTTTGATAATAAAATTTGAAGTTTTATATATATATATATATATATATATATATACATACATATATACATATATACACTTACATATATACATACATACATACGCACACACACATATATATATACACATACATACATACATATATATATACATATATATATATATACACATATATAAATATATATATATATATACATATATATATATATATACATATATATATATATATACATATATATATACATATATATATATATATATATATATATATATATATATATATATATATATATATACATATATATATACATATACATATATATATATACATACATACATACATACATATATATATACATATATATATATATATACACATATATATATACATATATATATATATATATATATATATATATATATATATATATATATATACATATATATACATATACATATATATATATACATATATATACACATATATATATATATATATATATATATATATATATATATATATATATATATATATATATATATATATATATATATATATATATATATATATATATATATATATATATATATATATATATATATATATATATATATATATATATATATATATATATATATATATATATATATATATATATATATATATATATATATATATATATATATATATATATATACAGTCATGGCCATAAATATGAGAATGCTGCATTTTTTTATAGTATGGCTTTTAGAACCTGAATATAACAAGCAGTTAACACCAATAACATTTAGTTGTGTAATTATAAAATATGATTAAATTATTAGTAAAAAAGCATCTTAAAGGCGTGATTGTCTCAAAAGTCAATATTTGGTGGGCAGCACTTTGTTGGCTATCACAGCCCTTATCCTCTCAAGCATTGAGACTAATTTTTGGCAATATTCCAGCATCATTTCTTGAGTCCAAACAGTCATGACCGCTTTCTTAATGTTCTTTTCAGAACTAGGATTCTTCGTAGGAACTTTCCACTTCATCATCATCCATAAATTTTCTATTGGATTAAGGTCCGGGCTGGAGCCAGGCCAAAGTCCTCAGACATCGATGTGTTGACCCATCAGCAACTGGCTAACTGCTCCAGTGCAGTGACAGGGAGCTCCATCATGCTGGAAAGTGGTGCAGTTGTTACTAGCCATATGCTGAGGTAACTTTTCTTTAAGGATATTGAGATACACTGCTCCATTAATGGTGGTGGTCTTTGGCATAAACCAGACACCGCCCCGGCTGGCTCCGCTTAAGCAGCCCCAAACCATAGTAGTTGGAGCCTGTGTAAGAGGCAAACTAGGAAAATGTTGATTCATTGGAAAACATGACCCTGCGCCACTAATCAACAGTCTAGTTTTTGTAGCAATTACAAAAGTCCAATCTATCTTTAATATTCTTGGGAGTTAGCTTTGATTTTTTTCCTGGATGGTCAAAAGGGAGGTTGCATTCCTTGGTAAGATGCTTTATTATGCCTTAGTGTTCTTGGGTCTACTCCCATAACGGTATTGGTGGCTATGGTTGCTGATGACCATGTAGGATTTCTAACACAAGCACACCGAATTGATCGGTCATCGGTGTCGACTTATGAGGTCGTTCTGGTCTAATACGTGATGAAAACGTTCCTATCTGCTCTACCCCTTTTATTGCCTTGAATACAGCTGTTTTAGAAACTCCTAAGCGTTCAGCAATTTGCTTATAGCTGTATTTTTCTTGCTTGAGGATGACAATTTGTGCTCGGACTTTGAGACTTCCTTATCTCGTAGTATAGTCTAAAACATATGAAAACAGTAGCTATATTTACAACTTTAAAGCATTAATTGGGCTATATTTATTGTTTTAAATATAACATAATGCTAAAATTGTTGCCTAAACAATAATTATGAATAAAAAAATTAACCTCACGTATTTACATTGAATAACTCTGGTATACTACACAATAAAACAACCAGAAGCTGCAATAATTTGCTGAAATTTATCTAAACTTTATAAAATGTAACAAAATAATGAATTAAAAATGCCTAACCCACGCTATCTTCTTGATATTTAGCTGTACTGTGGTCTTGAAGCTTTCAAAAACAGTCCCAGTACATTACAAGGTTTGAAAACAACTGTAATTAATATCTAACAACTATTATCTAACAACTATTATCTAACAACTGTAATTATTATCTGATTGTCTTTACATGATGAAGAATCATGAAACAATATAAAACTTATCATCGCTCTCATATTTATGGCCATGATTGTATATATATATATATATATATATATATATATATATATATATATATATATATATATATATATATATATATATATATATATATATATATATATATATATTCATTTAACATTTAAAACTATCGTTTGGTTAGTAACTGAACGCTAGATTTATAAAAATGAACTAAAACTTATTACATAAGTCAATTTATAGACAATGGAATGTATGAAAAATTTATTTTTTTGAAAGTTGAGATGATTTTCTTAATAACATAGTAATTGGGAAAATTTAATTTTTGAATAAATTAGCCTTTGATCTTTAGCTTGCTATTTTATTTTACATTAAAAAAAGAAAAAAAAAAAGAAAGAAAATTTCTTTAGAAAGTTTTTTTTCTTTATATTCTTTTTGCCTTTAAAAATATTATAAATAGCGATTACAATAACTTAATAAAAGTTTTGTTATGTTTTAGTTATTTTTAAACTTCAATGTTTTTAATTTTTTAAAAAATCCATTGTAAATGTAATTTATTTATGTAGACAACATAATGTAATTTGCTTATATGTAATTTTTTTTCTTTAAAAACCCCTGTTTTTAACAAAATGGAGCTTTTAGGTATATTTTTTTTACAAAAAATTTTTATTAAATAAAATAATTATTTATAAAACATGCATTTTTTTCTGCTTTTTTTTGAATCCAAGGTTACAATGATTTAGAAAAAAAAAACGAAAATATTAAGAACTGTCAAGATATTAGAATCCAAAGGAGAAACTCAAGAAACTTTTTTTTTTTTTTGCTATAAAAATCCCTCCACCTGGTCCAACAATGCTGTTCCATCTGGTCCAGCAATCTAGCAGTAAATTAAGTTCAATTCCGTGCTCTACTTTTACATAATCTTGTAAAACGGAATTTCTTTCGAATGTTTAAAATACTAACTATTTTTCTAATCATTTATATCTTCTCTTTCACATTTTTTCGGTTTGAAATCTTTTAGATTATCATTTTCAGATTCGCTGGAGTTATCACTGGAAAATCTAGACTTATTTTCTAAAGAATCAGTGACAAACATACAAATTTTCATTTCTTTTATAAATAATGTCCATTACAGCCAAGTATATACTGTGGTTATAACATTATTGATGTATAAAACCAGATAATCTACTAAATTTGATCATTACTACAGCAGCATCAGTGGTTGATGCAACAACATCTGAAGAGAATTGCAAACTCTGGTAGTTCTTTTTAACTAGGTCAACTGTTACTTCAGCTCTCATGAATATTGACCAGTCCTAGATTAATAAATAACTTATTGAAATGAATATAGATATTCAAATATCTTTGATTGCGTCGATTTGCCCATTTATCAAACATTAAACTAAATTTTCCACTTTTTTCTTTATGTGATTTTGTTTTAACAATAAATTCAGTTTTTGATTCACAAATTCACAGTATTCATGAACTAGTTGTATCATATTGGTTTTACCTTTTGGAAGATGATATTGTTTTTCACTTAATGTTTGATGAATGGGCTCACTTTGCATATTCCATGAATTGAAAATCCATCAACGGCCGCAAGTCTGGCCACTATCTCTGCTAAGGATTGTTTCATAGAAAAAAATGATGCGTGACATACTTACTTTCGCAGGGATAGTCTCACAGTTACTTGAACTTGCAATTTGATCGTCATTTAAGTTTCTTTTCTTAATATTAATGTTATGAACATGTTGCAAATGTCTTATTAACCCACTGGTTGACGAGCCCTTACAACTTAATAATTTGTTCGGATATTTCAAACACTTGGCTTGTTTGTCTGCTCTTTCTGTTGAAAAATACTTCCACACTGAATTAGCCATGATTAAATTGAGGTTTCAGCAATTCTAAATAAAAAAAATTAAAAATATTAAAACAAAGAAATTAGTTTTTTGATTAAAGAAAATAGTAAGAATATTTTGAAACTTACTTAACTTGTCAATACTTGGAGAACTGAATGCTATTCATAATTTCTTGAATAATAAAATTAATTACTAATTTTAAAAAGTAACTAGTGTTTTGTATTTAAAATTTTTTACAAGTCACTGAGGTGCATTTAGCATTTTGTATTGAAAATAATGACTTTTATGTTTGCTTTAAATCACATTTAACTAAAAAAATTATTATTTGATTTTTACATTTTTCTATCTTATAAGTGACTTCTAAAGTCAGATTATACACATTAAATAGCTTTGTGGACATTAACATTTTTTTTATTTTGAATAAATAATTATCCTAATAAAATATATACACAAGTATATTTTAATTTTTTCCTAGGAAATGATGGTAATTTTCCAGGTAAATGGGAAATATGAAATATAAAAAATTCCTGGTCAGGAACTCTCGGGAAGAACCCTCTAATATATGGGCAATTCCACAGCAGAAAATGAAAAAGTAGTCAAATTTTATTCTCTTTTTCGTCAACTTTTAGCAAATGAATATTAATGTAGACACATGAAAGTTTATTTAAAATATACCTTTAATACTAAAATTAATCATTCAAGTCATTTTTATGCCTTCGAAAGTTACGCTTTTTTGATTGTCGCATGATAAAAAAGGTATCATCGTAAGAATTAAATAAATTTTTGTATTTAGACATAAAAAAAAAAAACAAAAATTATTTGCTATTCTTCAAATATAAAAAAGATTAAAATAATAAAGATTAGAATCTTTTTTGTTTTTATTTTATGCTTGGAAATGTAAGTGATGTAACATAAGTTAAATATACAGTATCGAAAAAATAAGCTTATTTTCCTTAGCCAGTCGCCTCTAATAAAATTTCATATATTTGTTAAATTAAAGCGGTTTGTATTAGAAACTGTAAAAGTTTCTAATACAAACCGCTTTACTGATTTGTAGAAGTTTAGCCTAAAAGTTTAAATAATTTTTTTACCTTGCTTTCTGTGTAACGTAAGTTAAGTGGCATTTTCAGTAATAAGTTTGCCCTTTTTTGACCAGACTTTTTAGACTAACAGCTTTCATACAAAATAGCTAAAAGTTTAATTTACAGTTTAAATAGGCAAACATTTGATAAAGTTGTTGCGCATGTAACATTCTAAAATGTGACAACCGACCTTTGACTTCTGAGGTACAGATATATTTTTACCATTAAGTTTACCATAACTATCTCTTTTATTTAAATGGCATCTTAAAGGACTGTGAAAATTATTAATTTTTGGTAAAAGTTTAATTGCTAGAACAGAATTACTAACATTTAACTTGAAATTAAAATTAAAATATTAAATAATTAAATGCTTATGTTTTGCATTCAAATAGTTATTGTCTAAATAATATATCTAAATTATTTGAATTTTACTATTATTTGAATTTTTCTAAAACTATGCAATTTGTAAATATTGATTTAAAATTGTTTAAAATATTTTAAACATTTAATAACTAATAAAATTAAAACTACTAAAATATAATTCCTAAATAGTAAAGCGCTCGCCAAGCAATAAGTACAGAGTTTGATCCCCACCTTGTCCCACCACGTTCAACTTGTTTTGTATAAATAAATAGCGTAGTATTTGCAACTTGAAGATTTATTAAAGTTTTTCTTAGAGTAAATAAAGTACCATATGCTTCTCATATATTCTCCATTATATTCTTATACATATTCTCCACTACTAAATTCATGTCAAATTATTCTTAATTCATTCAAAGAAATATATTTTACAACAAAATGCTTTTTTCCACTCATTATTTTGAGAAAAAACAAAACAAGGTGAACACAAACAAAGTGATATTTAAAAATTATTCTTGCAGCACTTGTTTTAATTGGGGAGAGGGAGTTTACATTTTTTAGATCAAATCTGTGATTATAACAATAAAGTTTTTAGTTGATACAGTATGGTAAAAATTAAACCCATTAAAAAAGTTTTTTTTTCGTATGAAAAAAATTATTTTTTAACAATAATAAAGAACTTTATTATGTGTAACATATACAATAATAACATATACAACATATGTAACATATACAATAATAAATTCCTTTTATTATGTAAAAAAAAGTAATAACCTTAATTTGATGCTCTTTGAGTTCTTTTTCTTTTAAAGACGATGTATCTTTAATATCAGCCAACTCTTCCATAGCTTTTGATAGTTTTTTTGTACTTTCAGAGTTTTGCAATTCAGCTGTCTTTAACTTTGTATTTAACTGCTCTATCTAAATTTAAAAGACTGAATATAAGTTTTGTTTTGTTAAAAATAAAATTTCTAATGTTTCTATTACCTAGCACATTCAAAACAACCATCTATAAACTTATAACCTTGATTTGATGCTCTTTGAGTGCTTTTTCTTTTGAAGCAAATTTATTTTTAAGATCACCCAACTCTTCCATAGTTTTTGATAATTTTTTCACACTTTCGGAGTTTTGCAATTCAACTGTTTTTAACTTAGTATTCAACTGCTCTACCTAAATTTTTCAAAAACTATTTTTCAAATGTTTCTATTACATACTATAAAATCCGAAACACCAATCTATAAACTTGTAACCTTGGCTTGATTCTCTTTGAGCTCTTTTTCTTTCGATGACATCCTATTTTTAAGATCACCTAATTCTTCCATAACTTTTGACAATTTTTTTACACTTTCAGAGTGTTGCAATTCAGCTGCCTTCAACTTTGTACTCAGCTGCTCTACCTAAGTTTGAAAGAAAAATTGTTTCTTAAAATAAAATATTTTTTAAATAAAAAAAATTTCAAAATTTTAGAAAAGTTTTACATTTTCATTTAGTATTTTGATTTCATCATCTTTAGAATTATCGCTTAGTTTCATCTCATTATCCTGTAACTTTTGTTGTAGGAGTTCAAGCTGTGAAATAAAAAAGAAATGCAAAAAATGTTTTAAAAAAATGGTTAAAAATCACTTTAAAATTTTTTTTTAAATACATATAATCTTTATACCAGATACAAATATGAAATTATTAGATTTTCAAAATTTGAAAACCACAAATAAAAATTAACTAATAATGATTTCCAGTTTATGCACACTCTCAACTTTTTCTGAAACTAATCATACAGTACTACCTCCTTTAGACTATATGTTTCTATTTTTGTATCTTTATAAACTATCCCAACAGTATTTGCACATAACTTTATTTGTTTTTTTCCATACAAACACAGAGGATTTAATACAAACATAAGAATATGCAGACTTGAAATTAATCTATTAGTTTTTCAGCTGTCAGATGGAAATCTAACTAAAACACTCAAATGTATCAAAATTATCAACACGTAACGTATTAAAAGTATCAACACGGAAATCTAACATGAACTAAAAATTTGTATATCATAAGCAAGAATGAAAATCATTGAACTGCCTAAACACAAAAAAAATCCTTGGTCGTTGTATGAACACTCCACTGAGCCTATCCCTAGTCAGTCAATGTATATATACTCAATTGCCCTTATCCCTAGGTTATCTAAAGTGACCTTATTTCTCATGGCCTGTTGTAACCATTTCTAACTATTATATAACAGTTTATGAGTGTATCATTAATATACTTAATAATATTATATAAACAACAAAAAAGAAAAGATTAGTTTCTTTAAAATTAAATGCAAAATTTCTTAGTTGTGCCCTAGTATCACTGTCTTTTCCTTCTGAAAAATCTTTTTTATATGATGTCTGTCCAACATCATATATTTATATCTATAAATTAACACTTACATACTCTTACTTCTTTCTTCCTTGAGGCTTGTTCACACTTGTTTTAAATAAGTGATTTAGACACTATTGCTTTAATTGCAAAAATTCATTAAAACAATAGATGTCTTTAATGTGGCCGTTTTATAAATATATAAACCTAACTTTTGAGATAAAATACAAATTTTAGTAATCTAAGAATGGAGCTTAGCATTAGACCTTTTGAATTTCTCGCAATTATAAAAAAGGACTTGTCAATCGGATCAACATAATATCAAAAAGTCTCACAAAGAGCAAGGAGATCTAGTGAATTATGCAAGAGGTAAGACTCAACAGATGAAAAGTTACTTTGATTATTAGTAAAAAGTAGTAAAAAAATAAGATTGAAACAATTGGATGGTGACTATGATGGTGGGTGGTGATAATGATTTTTTATGCTTATCATTTTTAGGTACTATAATCATGTTCTAAGAATTTGACTTTGGCCTCATGGACGTTGACTTGATAAGATGATAGTGCATGGCACCCTTTGATCATGGATAGTGCATGACACCATTGGTCATAGACTTGATCATAGATAGTACATGGCAATAAACCATAAAGTGGCCGTAATTCTACATTTTTATAACAAGGTTATAAAAATGTAGATTTATGTTTAATAAGGCCACATAAGGACCTTGTTATAATAATATAGTTATAATAAGGTCCATATGTGGCCTAAACAATGACATCAAAAGCATCAACAGGGATACCATTTATGTGCAACATGACACCGTTAATACTCTGATATTTTTCAGCTGTTGATGGAATTAGCCTCTATGAGAGCTACCACAGAGTTCAGAAAACCTTACTACCAGCCGTACTCATTAAATTGAGTTTTGGAGCTGTAGTCTCATTAGGAGATAACAGAAAGAGTTGCAATTGCCATTCACAAGTAGACCAAAGAGGTTTTTGCTTTTTTCCAATATTCAATATACTCGGTAAGAAAAATGTAAGATCATCTATGCCAGCCTAAATAGATGAAAAAGAGGTATGAGGCTTGTCAACAGAAATTTTCTGCTTATCTCTAAAAGTGACAATGAAATCTCTACAAATTCTTCAAATAAAAAATCTTTAAACATGACCAATAAAATCTTTATCAATTCTTCAAATAAAAGATCCTTTAAAGTGACCAATGAAATCTCTATAAATTCTTAATTGTGACCAATGAAATCTTTATAAATTCTTCAAATAAAAAATTCATAAATGTGAACAATGAAATCTCTATCAATTCTTCAAATAAAAATTCCTTAAATGTGACTAATAAAATCTTTATCAATTCTTCAAATAAAAAATTCCTATAAATTTCCATGAAATCTCTATAAATTCCTCAAATAAAAAAACCCTAAACTTGACAAATGAATCTCTATAAATTTTTAAAAATTTAAAATCTTGTCTAGAGAAGCTTATAATGCAATTTTTTTTTTATTCTGATTTATTCCCAAAAAGGCTGCAATTAAGTTGAGAGTTACTAGAAAAAAAGAATAGAGTTATAGAGCAAGGAAACAGTTGACAGAAGACTTAACAAGTTGAAGGTTGTATAAATCAGGAAGACATGAAGATGGGAGAGAGTTTCAAAGGGTTGAAATTTGGGGGAAAAAACTAAACGAATAAAAGTTTTTGAAGCATGCAGGGATAGATACAGTAAAAGAATGAGACTTTTATGAATGACAAGTCAAGCAAGAATGAGAATGCTCTATTATATGTGTATATCTGTTTTAGCAACCTGGCAAAAAACAAGAACCTGTATATGTGTAAATTAACATTAATTTATAATTTTTTTAAAATTTATTCATTTCTTGAAGTAATTAGTCACTAATTATGTATAATTTACTTATAATTACAGTGATACAAATGAATATAGTGATGCTTGTTTTATAAGATATATGTAGATCAATATTGCTTTCATGTAGCACCATGGTTATCTTCATTCTCTGTGAAATGATCAACTTTTGTTTCATATTAAAAAACCTTATGTACTATATATCCTATGTACTCTATATCCTGAATTATATATATTGTAAAAATATTCATAATAAATATATAAACTTTATAATCTTTACCACTAAAAAAAAAATTTGAAATAATTACTCAACAGATGGACAGATCTCAAGATTTTTTACATTAAAGAGAATCTTTACTACAAAAACACTTGCATATGAGAAGAACACTATAGTACAAAAACACTTACATATGAGAACACTATAGTACAAAGAAAGTAGACTAGAGTGCTTAAAAAGAACACTGCAGTACTGAGAAAAAATACAATAATACTGAGAAAGTATACTATAGCGCTTAAAAAGAATAGCACTGAGAAAGAACGCTATAGTACTCAGACCTGTTTGACATGAAATGAGAAATCTACAATAACTGGAATAAAAAAGTTAATACGAAGGAAAGATTCAAAAAACTACAAAGTTAATTTAATACATATATATTTTTTGCTTATTTAAAAAAATATTATGGAATTAGGCAAGTGGAAATCTCAAAATGTTGCAGATCTAATTTTGGATTTTAGAGAATAATTTAATACGGACACAGGAGAGTAAATAGCTAAACATACAGATATACAGTAAATAGTAAATAACTATATATACAGTTTTTTTTGTTGTACTTTAATTATTTTTATTTATACTTTCTAAGCAGTAAATGAGTCATTTACAGCATAAGTATTAAACAATAAATCCATCATCTTCAATAATACTAAATGGTTGGTTATCTATAACAATCATCAATGCTATTTTTATGCATTTTTGACTTTATGGTTTGACTTTTTATCATCAATATTCCATATACTTGATGAAATACTAGCTTAAACATTTTTTCATTTCGCACTTTTTTTTCACAAATAACATGTTACCTTTTGAATTTTTTGGCATGATAGCACAGTGGAGTTATTTTTTTCCATTAGTATTGATTTCATATAAAATACAGATGCCGTCAACTCAAAGGGATCATTTGTTTTAAAAAACTTCCCAAATAAACTTTTCATTTTAGAATGTTTAATTTAGTGATATTTTACAATACTTGACTTATTAAAATACCTATTGTAGATATTGTAGATACCTATTGTTTAAAAAATATTATATATAAATATCAAAAAAAAAATCCATCCGGATAACTTAAATAGTATATAATAAATCAGTTATCTGGTTATTCTGTATTTGCCCCTATATTTGAAAATGTTAGCTTTAATTTATTGCTGTTAATTGAAATTTATCAATCCATCAATACAAAAATGAAATCCACCAATCCATCAATACCAAAGTGAAATCCACCAATCCATCAATACCAAAATGAAATCCATCAATCCATCAATACCAAAATGAAATCCATCAATCCATCAATACCAAAATGAAATCCATCAATCCATCAATACCAAGTGAAATCCATCAATCCATCAATACCAAGTGAAATTCACCAATCCATCAATACCAAAATGAAATCCATCAATTCATCAATACCAAAATGAAATCCATCAATCCATCAATACCAAAGTGAAATCTACCAATACATCAATACAAAAATGAAATCCATCAATCCATCAATACCAAAACGGAATAAAAGACAATCTTTAAAATAGTAATATTGTTCCTAACATGAAGTAAGCACTTCTCTTTCATTTCTAACATGAAGTAAGCACTTTTCTTTCGTTTCTAACATGAAGTAAGCACTTTTCTTTCGTTTCTAACAAAAAGTAAGCCCTTTTCTTTTGTTTCTAACATGAAATAAGCACTTCTCTTTCGTTTCTAACATGAAGTAAGCACTTTTCTTTCGTTTCTAACATGAAGTAAGCACTTCTCGTTTCTAACATGAAGTAAGCACTTTTCTTTTGTTTCTAACAAAAAGTAAGCACCTTTCTTTTGTTTCTAACATGAAGTAAGCACTTCTCTTTTGTTTCTAACATGAAGTAAGCACTTTTCTTTCATTTCTAACAAAAAGTAAGCACTTTTCTTTCGTTTCTATATGACATGTTTTATCAATGGTTAAAATTTTGAAAAATCTTTACTTATTAAATTTTGTTAGTAATTTTGAATTTAGTAATTGAAAACAAAACATAAAAACAAAAAAAATATTTTAATATTAACTAAAACATTAATGATTTTAGATAAACTTTTATTATATTTTATAATAAGTAATTTAATTATAATAAAATTAAATTGCATTTTTACACATACCATCATTTTAGACTGCAAACAAAAGGTAATCACCTCCTTTTGAAGTATATCAAATTGCTTGTCCTTGGAAAGTAGTAACTCCTCTGTTTTTTTATTATGCTCAATTTGGTTATGTTCTCTTGCACGCAACTCTTGAACTTCTTTACTGATATTAGTTATTTGCATTTCTTTGTCAGTTAAACATTTTTCCAAATTTGATAACTGTACATAAGAAAAAATTTCATCAACTCATAAAATTTTTTAAACTAAAAGTATTTGTATAAAAAAACTCATACATACAATGCGTGCAATAAGTGTATGCATTAAAGTAAACTTATATTTGGCCAAATTTTATATCTCAGTCAAATATAAAGATATATAAATAAAATAAAAAGATTTAAAATCATAATATGTCATCATATATTAATTAATCAAAACAATTATAATAACTGTACAATATGAAACTATTCAATATGGGCTCCATTTTGTTTTTTAATCACAATTATCCTTTTTTAAACTTCAGGAAAAATTTAATGGCAATAATCAAAAATGTAATAGCAAGTATCAAAAATGTAATGGCAAGTAAATGAATTAATGACATTTATTATTGTTTGCTTGAAACCGCTAATATTAGTTATTTTTTTGTTAAAATTTTCTGCTTCACATATGCCCATAATATGTGTGCAGAAGCTTGTTGGATTAAGCCCATAATATGTGTGCAGAAGCTTGTTGGAATGTCTTGTTGGAAATAGATTTGTTGACAATGCATTTTTGAAACAATACTGGATGAAAAATTCTCTAAGTATTTTGAGGTAATTTCGACTGTTTTGTGACAGTTCTGCTTATGAACTCTACCAGATATATCATTTAAAAAAGTAAAGTTTTCCAAAGTATGGTCCTTTAAGAGCAGCAGCACTTCATCAACAGTTTGGGCTCTACAATCAAAATCTTCCTCATATAACTTCTGATGTATTTGGTTTTTTATGACTAAAGAAACATTTGTGAATGTAAATATTATGAATGAGTCCTCTGGATAAATTTACTTCAGCAAAAATCTCAGTTGCTTATTTGGTTTTGTGTGTTTTCATCACTTTTTCATGTTTATCTGCAATCTTGGTCTTCAATTGGTTTCAAGAAAAGAGTTATGTTGTAGTATTGTCCTTGGATCCAGTATTTCAGCATTTTTCCGCTTCAGCCATCTCATAACCTCAATTGCACTCTCAAATTTCGCCATTAATACAACAATTTGAATTTTGAGATTTAAACCCAAATAAATGGTTCAGTTTAATATTATTTTAAAATGATAACTACTTCTGCAAAATATATTGTTATCTCAGACTAATTTTGTTGTATATATTTGAACTTACTTTATCGAATAGTCTTTTAAAACATACTGTATAAAAAAAATTTGTCTATTGAACATAATCAATTTGAATAACTGCACATAAAGAACAAATTTTATTAAAATAAACTTTGATAAATAAGAGAAGCTCAAATCTCTTGAAGAAAAAAACACATTTTAAATGTATATTTTTAAATAGCATTTTTAATATATACCAATTCATATGCTTTAATTTAAGTTCCTTCATTACCAGAATATTAGCATAGTACCATAGCACATTTTAATACTTACAGAAAGTTAAAAACCAGCAATGCTGCACACAGTGAAAATGTTCTACATCCTCAGATTTCCATTAATAGAAACTTGTTGATTGGATAGTTCATTTCAAAAATATTGACAACCTACACCCTACTTAATGGCATGAAGCTGATCCAGCATATCAACGATTTTGTTAAAAGTTTTTCTGTAAGACTCAGTCAGTCAATGGGTAGAAGTGAAAGGTCTACCAAATCACTCAGTGGTTTGGTAGACCTTTCACTTCTACCCATTACCTTTTCAGAAACCATACACTTGTTGTTCTCTTTAAAAACTTTGTGAACATCATGCTTAGTATACATCTGCATGTGCACATAGACTTTAAATAAGTTTTATTTAATAATTGAGAACACTTATCACAAGTGCTTTCAAATAGTCAACAAAAACAAAACAAGAAGCATAACTTTTGTTAATTGGTAAGAATATTGCCAGTTAGAGGCATTTAAGCTTATGTTTTTGACTAGTTACACATTTTTCTCCCAAATTTTCAACGTCAAAAAACATTTTAAAACAAAAAATTTATTTTCAGTTATTATCTTTTGCTCTATTTTGCTCCAAGTTGCTTACTTTTACTCTAACTATTTTATGCTTGCAAACTTCAATTTTTTTGGAACTCTTTAATATTTTGATGTTATTTTGATGTCATTCAATAAGTATGGCACTCTAAACTTCAAGTTTTCTTACTTCTACCACTACCATTTTCTACTGAAGATGCTACCTCTCTACATGCTTGTAGAGAGGTAGCATCTTCAGATGGTAGTGGTAGAAGTTATGCACCTAAATTACTTTAATCTTTTCTAAAAAACGTTGTTTCATGAAATGTTTTTTCTAACCTGTCTAAGATTATAAATCATTTTCTTGTCTTGCTAGAGTTACACCACACATACTACATCATATAAATACTAAAGCTCATATAACAATGAAAGGATGTTGTATGCCAGCATTTAAATAAATGGCAAACATATATGTTTATATCCATAATATGTATGCATAAAGCGGATCTCAGAAGCTTCTATTCCTCCTGAAATCAAAGTTTGGAAGCTTTTAATCCTACTCTTCAATTTAAAGTCAAGCCTTATTCTACTCAACATTTTTCACCATCTTGAGCAGTTGCTTTACTAAACATTAAGCATTTTTTTCCATCTTTTTTACAAAAACATCTCTCTTAAAAACTAATGTCCTTTTATTATTCCAAGAAGCCAATGTAAAAAGGTCCTGTCTGATGTTAAGTTCTGTTATTCTCAGTTTACTAAAACTTGTAACTTATATCATGTTAAGTTTTAGAGCCTTTTTGTTAGTCTTCAACAGTGTTATTAACTAAAGTAAGTCTAACATTTCTAATTCATGGGTTTGATCTTTTTACTTCTCCTCAGAATAAAGCAGAGTTATTTGCAAAGAAATCTTACTCTAATTTGACTATTAAATATTTGACTATTTGAATATAATGACATACTCTTCCTGACAGTTAAACAGATTAACCCATTGTAAAACATCAAAATCACTCTGACTTCCAATGCTAAAGTTAATTCTAAATTAAACACTTCTACAGTTTGACTCCAGACAAGATTTCCGTCATAATCTTAAAAATTGAACTCTCTTCAAATTTTGCTAAACTTTTAAAAAGTGCTGAATAGGTGGTTTTTTTTCAAAACTCTAGAAAACACTCCAACTGACCTCTCCTATGATTATCCTATGATTAGTCTTCACTCTGTTATTAGTTTCTTTATATAAAGTTTTTGAGGTTATTAAATTATTTCTTTCTAACTGCATTAGTAAAGTTATTCTTAAAGGCCTAGCCTCTTCTTTATTTCAAATAGCTTTAAGGGTACCATAAGGTTCTATCTTTGCTCCTGTATTGTTTCTTATCTACAATAATGATCTTCATAAAATCTGGCTATATCTGGCTTATCTACAATAATGGCATAAAATGGCATAAAATCTGGCTTATCTACAATAATGATCTTCATAAAAAGTGGCTCTATTTGCAGATGACTCAACTTTATACTCTTGTCTTGACAAAAAATCTTAACTTTTTAATATCTTAAAACAAGCAGCTGATTTTTAATCTAATCTCTCTTCTGTATAGCCTTAGGCTTGCAGTGGCTTATGGATTTAAATTTTGGACTTCCACTTTAAATCCTGGAAATCAACAACTTTTGTTAGACAACAAAACTCATTTATTTACTGCAAAAAATATTGCAATATTGTTGGCATTCCTATATTGACAAATAACAACCCTTATACTCTAAGGATAAGTCTAAAAGCACATTGTAAATGTAATTAGACCTGCTTTATCTGCCAAGCTTGAGCCACTCTCCATTGTTGTAAGGTTGCATTTCTTTCTTTTTTCTACAAATACAATCATGGCCAATGCTCAAACAAGCTATCATCTCTATAATGATAAACCAAAACTCATTCTTGCTTGTCTTTTTATTCAACAAGTTACATCCTTTTACAACTTTTTAAGTCTTCAGTTATACGTTTACTAGTATTTTAAATTGTTCTCTTTTAAAGTTTATTTTTTTACAATGGCATAAAAATATCCACATTAGGTATTTTTATACCTAATGTGGTTAATTTTAAACCTAATTTTTATAAAAAATATAAAAATATAAAAATATAAAAATATAAAAATATAAAATATTATGTAAATATTTAAATATAAAAAAATGTAATATGCCATTTAGATTTTAATTAAATTAAGTAATATGCCATTTAGATTTAGATTGCATTTGTGCTGCATTTGGGAGGTGTTAAAATTACATGCCTGTAAGTGTAAACATCAGTATATTAATTTGAGTTTGCGGGTCATATATCAAACAATTGTGTATAATGTAAGATAACTTTTCAAAGTTTTTATATATTTGTATTTAAAAAAGTGACAAGATTGAAAAAACCAAAAAAAGTTTTTACTTTTAGCAGTGGATTTGAAAACACAAAATTATTAGGATGTCAGTAGAGTGGTCAGCACACTAAAACACTAACAGGGTGGCCACACTTTTTTAGAGTTAAAAATTTAGATGAATTTAGGAGATTTTTAAGGATTTTTTAGGAGTATTTGCCAGGAAACTTGGATTTTAGGAGTATTTTTTCAAATTCAAGTATATTTTAGAAAAATTTAGAACTTTTTAGAAGGTTTTTCAAATATATATTTGATATATATCGAAATATACATAATATTTTAGGATTTATTAGGAGGCATGCTCCTTTGCCACCCTGACTAGGCTACTGAAAATATGAAAAAACAAACTATTTTATAAGATTTTTATACCGATTCAACACTTTTTAAGCAAATATATATAAGCAAATATATATAATATATATAAATATATTCTAAATAAGGGCAACTAAATTGTATAGCAGCATTGCATAGAAATTTATAAAAGAAATATATTATAAACACATGTATACAAATTAATTTAAATAAAATATAATTAAATAGAACTTTATTATTATTACAGATATATATTATATGCAAATGCAAAGAGCATTATGTAAAAATTATATAAAAAAAACCCACTTATTTAACATTATGTACAAACATCTGTAAGTGTAAACATCATTACTACTAACAGTAGGTAAGATGAGTTTGTGGATGGTGTCAAGTATTCAAGATATATTCAAAAATTCTGTGTATTATACACACAGAATTTTTGAATATATCTTGAATACTTGACAAGTATTCTTAAGGAAAGTTTTAAAACTTTTCTAACAATTAAAAGCCTTTTTGTTTAAACTGTTTTGATTTGAATTTTTGTAATTTTGTTATTGCATTAAAAAAAAATCAGCAAAATTAAAAAATAAAAAAACTATTTCATTATACAAGTAAGTTTTATTATCCAAGTGCTGTAGTGGTAGAGCGCTTGTTTGATAAGAGAGAGGTTCCGAGTTTGATTCCCACTAAGTTCAATTCCGCTTAAATTGTTTCTCTGCACAGTGGAATTATTCGTTAAGGTTCTTGCTTCAGAGTTAAAGAGTTGAGAGAGGGTTATAACAATAATTAAGTGGCCTTCTTGTCTGTAGTGGCCTTCTTGTCTGTAGTGGCCTTCTCAGCTTTAGGGAGGTGAATTAACATTAAAAAAAAAGAGTGAATTAATGGTTATTTTTGTTGTTGTGAGTTTATTGCAGAAAAGTTGCTATAAAAATAATAGATAGAGTTATAGCCCCCCGTGACCCACTTTCTAAGTACTCTTTTGTTTTGTAAATAAATATAGTCCTAATGAAATTCTATTATAGCCTTAAATTTCAAAAAGTACCTGGAGAATTATCACATAATTGCCATCTATGTTAGAGATACTTATGTTAAGTGTTTATAAAATCAATTAGGTAAGTCTGCACACCTAAGGCAGTAAAGATATTATAAGTATAATATAGTAAAAATTATATGAAACTTTTTTTTTTATCCATTTATTCCATTTATTCAACCAAAATTGGAAAAATTTACAAAATTAGATGTCACTCATAGTTAAAAACTAGTCATCAAAGTGACACCTAAATAAAATCAACAAAGAAAAAAAAAATAAACAGCATTAATAATAAATAATAACATGTGTAAATGAAACAAATTAAAAAATAATAATAATAACGATAAAGTTATAAGAAATTAAATAATAAGACAAAAAATATGAAAACACTCAATTAATAACAACAGCAAAAAAAAAAAAAAAAATTTAGCAAAACAACACAAATAAAAACAAACTTTATACGAAAAAACAAAAGACAAAAACTATAAAAAACTACTAAACCAAAATGCAAACACAAAAACTTCTACAAAATAAAAAAGTATAAAAAATAATAACTATCTTTTGTTATTTTTGGCAAACAAAGTTAAGGTGTAGAAAAATTGCTTTATTTTTACAGTTTAATTAGTTCTTTTTATTATTATTTTAAACATTTATCTACCTATTTTTCTTTTAACTTAGTGTTTTGCTTTTAATTGATTTTTCTTTTTTCTTTTTCTATTTTATTAAATCTATTTGTTCTTTTGTTCTTTTATTCATTTTCTTGTCTTATATTTGCTTTAATGTTAGTTAATTAGTTCGTTTATACCTTTCAATAATTTTCTTATTTTACTTTATTTTTAACTAATCTTTTGTATTTTTCAAAATAATTTCCTCTTTTTTTCCTTTTTATTGTTAAACTCTGAAAGAATAAAGAACACTTTAAAAAAGCTTTGAAATTAAAAAAAAAACAATACTATATTATAACAATACTATAATATAACAATACTATATATACTAATAATATAATTAATTATTACTAAAAACAAAAATAACTATCAATAATTGTTACTTTATTTAAAAGTGTTTCGCTAATATAAAAACATAATTAAGACAAAAGTTTTATTTGTTTCTAAAAAATTTTTCAGTGCATTTTTGAAAATTTAAAAGCTGTAGTTAAATCGTCAAAACAAAATTTGCATGATCATGTAATGGGTTATAATGGAATGCCTTCCTGACCAAGACTGATTTAAAAAAACTATTTAAAAAGAAAAAATGTTTTGTTTTTCTTATTCAAAATGTTTTAAATAAACTTAAATTTTAAAATATTACAATAATCTTTTTTATTTCAAGCATTAAAAATCATGAAAATATTCAAATATCTTAAATTAACTTACACTTTCTAGGTTTCTTCTTTCACTTTCTCTTAAGATTGCATTATCATATTTTAATTTTAAAATCTCCTCCTCTTGACTTTCAATTGTATTACGACAAGTTTGTAACTGAATTAAAACACTTTCATGATACTGTTCTTTTTGTTCTTTATCAACAAGAATAATTTCAAGGTCACTTATACATTTGTTTTTCTCCTCATTATCTTCAAGTAACTCATTATACTTAGCTTCTAACTCATCTAGAGTTAATGTTAGCAAACTAATTTCTTCTTCTTGCTTTTCAAACTTTTTATTGTTTGAGATATACTGACTTTCATTCAACATATTGATAGAGTTATTCTCAATTTGAGATTGAAGTTGGTATATTTTGTCTTCAAGAGTTTTTTTTTCAGATGTATATAATGAAATCTTTTCTTCGTTTGACTTATTTATTAAACTCAATGATAAAATTTTATCTGCTTGTAAATCAAATTGTTCTTTTAAATTGTTATACAAAGTATTTTTGTTCTGTTCTTCTAACTTTTGCATTAGGTTTTTTGACTTTTGTTGTTGTGCATTTAGTTCATGCTCAAGATCTTCCAATGTTTTTTTGTACTCCTTAAAAACAAAAAATAGAGTACAAAAGATTCATGCAATAAGGTAGGTAATAACAGGTAAAATATTCAAAGTAAAAACGTAAAAGATTCATACAATAATAACAGGTAAAATCTAGATATTAATGATCTTTACTACAACAAAGTAGTACACACAAAAAAAATCTGTGTGTGTGTTCTGACTTTATATAAATTTCAATAAATTGCCAACTTTGAAATATAAAAACACTTAAGTTTTTACAAAAAAGTGGTTGGCAAAAAATCTTTTAGGTTTGTGTGTGTATTGATGTTACTTTGCACATAATTTCAAGAAAGTGCTTGATGAATTAAAACAGAGCTATAATACATACTCCTATACATTTAAACTAAAACTACATGATTTTTAAAACAATTCGTTTCATGCAATTTGCAATCATAAAGATAAAGTATAAGTTTTATATATATTTGTGTATGGAGATAAAATTACATGATTTTTAAAACTATTATTAAATCGTAAGCAGTAAAAACTTTTACAGCTCTTTGTCAAATTTTTAGTCAAATAAGTAATGTTAATAAATAAATAAGTTAATAAATAAATGGATAGCTAGTGTAAAAATGACACTTGTTATGATATACTCTTGTAACATTAACGTTACAAATATATGTTTTTAACAAGTACAAAACCAAATTCTGTATTTAATAAACAATTTTATTGAATAAACAAATAGCTTGTGGTATTTTTTTATTCAAGGTCTCATAAGAAGGTATTTAGAGAAGCAGCTTGCCATTTTCATTTTAAAAGAGCTTTTTTTTGTTGCACTCATTAACTCTTACCAAGGCCTATATATATATATATATATATATATATATATATATATATATATATATATATATATATATATATATATATATATATATATATATATATATATATATATATATATATATAACCCTCAGAATTAGGGTCGGCATTCCGAATTGCCAACCTCATTTTTTCTAATTCCTAGGGATATATATATATATATTTTTTCTTTTTCTTAAAATACAGTATGCTATAAAGATAAGTAAAACTAGTGAGCAAATGCTTATCTAAATAGGCTATAGAAGATATATATGTATATATATATAGATAGATAGCTCTGACTAGTTTACCTTTAAAAATATCCTTATAGTGTAGTCGAAAGAGACTTTTATGGTAAAAAAAAGTCTCTTTCGACTACAATTTTTTTACCTTGTCTCTTAAGCTCCATTTTATTGTCGTCGAAATGTCAAAGCAATTAAATTAATGCAGAAGTACATTAAATTTTATTGTTTTTTAAAAAAACCGCAATAATAATGACTAGAAATTTTTTTTTAATTAGTGGTGTTTTTGTTTTATTAAAAAACATTTTTAAAACATGCGTAAGCCTTGCTACATCAACTATCTTATAGCCTGCTGCTACAAGGGAGTGTTGCTACATCGACTATCTTATAGCCTGACTCGCAACGAGCGCTGCTACATCGACTGACAAATAGCCTGACTCGCAAGGGAGCTGCTACATCGTTTGGTTTGGGCAGGCAGTCTATCATTTTTTTAAAAAAAATTTTTTTTTGAAGTTTTTTAACCTTTTCTGGTCAGGCTTATTAATGCGCTCTTTAAAACAACAGTTTATGGGAAAAACTTTGTGACTACCATGCAAGACTATATATATATGTATATATATATATATATATATATATATATATATATATATATATATATATATATATATATATATATATATATATATATATATATATATATATATATATATATATATATATATAAATATATATATATATATATATATATATATATATATATATATATATATATATATATATATATATATATATGTTTTTTTGAAATAACACTAACAAACTATAATTAATTTAAAAGTATTTTATAAAAATTATATTATAATATATAAATAACTTTATTTAAAAAATAAAATCAAACCTGAATTTGAGTATTAGCAATGCTGAGTTGTTCTTTTAACTCAAGATTTTTTTCTCGTTCTTCTTTTCTTGCTAATCTTTCTTTTTTTAATTCTGGACTCCAAAATTGTTTTATACTTTTAACAGTTGAACTTAACTTAGTTTCTTTAGCTTCTATTTCTTTTTTAAGATTTAAGTTTTCTTGCTGCAAATCATTCATTTTTTGTACACTTTGTAAAGAAGAATTCAAGTTCGTGTTACTTGGAGGCAATGAATAATTGCCTAGTTTTTTAAGACTAAATGAAAAAGGGCTAGAGCTTATTAAATTTGGAGAACTTGGTTGGTCAGAACCAGATGTGCCTTCATATACATTGCCATTGTCAAAAACATTTGTACCATTAACTATTTTCAATGGTTTATCAAAAGATTTATTTAATTGAAACGGTGAATATACATGGTTCTCAGATGTAACTTTTCCATCATCCATTTCATGACTTTTTAAATAATATATTACAAAGTTCACTTTTTACCAAACCAAAACACTTTGAAACATAAAATTTTTTAAATCTATATTTACTGCAATAAGCAAATTTGAATTAACAAACCTTATTATATACCTTAATTTAAAAAAAGTTTTTAATCAATAAAAAAAATTAAAAATAACTAATATTCAATCAAAATCACTCAGAAAATTTATTTTTAATAAATTTTTAAAAAAAGAAGAGTTTTTAACCTAATGAATAATGTTTTTAAAATGTTATAAGGAATTTTTATAATATTAAAATCAACATACATAGTTATTTGTAAAGTAAACAAAGTTATTTTTTTTTTAAACTATTATAATTTACAATGTCTATAACTCTTAAATAAACAACACTTAAAATGAATGAGAACATCCAAATAAAAATGTCTGACTATGTACAAATATGCTCAGAAAAAAATATACAATTATAAATAAATGTGTGTGTGTATATATATATATATATATATATATATATATATATATATATATATATATATATATATATATATATATATATATATATATATATATATATATATATATATATATATATATATATATATATATATATATATATGTAGTAATACTACATGTGAATACAATTATAAATAAATGTGTGTGTATATATATATATATATATATATATATATATATATATATATATATATATATATATATATATATATATATATATATATATATATATATATATATATATATTTGTATACTCACATGTAGTATTACTACAGTTGTAGAAGTATATACTTTAATTGCTTTTTTTGATTATTGTAAAGTTAAATGGTAAATATAAAGATAAATAAGGATAATAACCATTTTTTTTCAAATTTAATTATTTAAATAAACAACTTTCATAACGTATATTGTTGCTCATTAGTATAAATTCTTTAGAATCTGACATTCACAAAAGTATTACAAAAAAAAAATTAGTATATTTTTACATTAGCAAAACCGTTAAAAATTTTTTTTTTTTGAAAACAAAATTAAGTCAGAATTATTTTCAAAACAAAAAAGAGCTGTATGTTTTGTAGAATGAAAAAATAGAGTTTTAAATCAAAAAATTTCGCCGACTTAAATAAAAAAATAACTGTGTCAGAGTTTAAAATCAGATTTATAAATCTAATAAATTCCCATATTACTTAAATTTATGGAATGCAAGATCATACCCTTTATTGTTTTTAAAAACATTCCAACCGCATAAACATTTCATTAACCGGTAACGAAAACGCGCTGGAAAATTTTCCCCAACGATTGTTGTTTATGTTTGGAGTCTAAGGGTGGAATGCAAGAAGCGAACTTGAGTCAAGCTCCACTTGAACTTTACATTGCAACCAATAGCGACAGAGTATGGGTTTTCCCCTCAAAAAGTACTCTGCCGCTATTGGTTACAAAGTAAACTTCAAGTCGAACTTGACTCAAGTTTGCTTCTTGTATTCCACCCTAATAATTTCCCCTTTATGTCCTTTTCAAGAATATATTATTCACCATACAATATATACACCGGTTATTTTGAAAAAGAGTTCACAGATTTTTTGTGCAGTTTTATAATATTAGTTACTTTTTTACATTTAAAAAACGTAACTTTTGATAAATTTATTTATTTAAAAACTTACTGGGATAGAACTAAGAAAATTTATTTTTTATTTTTTTTAATTACAAAAAGTTTTCGTAGGAAATCTTAAATTCTAAGCTTTTAGTTAATTTTAATTTAGTTAAAGATTTCCTCAACAAACAGTAGTGTAATACAAGGACCGTATCATCCCACTATCTAGCAAATTATACCAAAGATGTCTTTGAAAGTATTATAGTTACTTAAACCTGAAACCAAACCAAAAAAACTAGTCTACAGATTTATGCCTCTTTTATTTTTCTTATCGAACTACTCTTAAATACTTTTTTTATCTAAATACGTTTGATCATCTTTACTTATCAACCTTTGCATTCTAAACACTGTTTATAAACAGCAATGAAACTATACAGTAACAAATTTTAATGATTTGGATAACCTTTATCTTGAAAAAAATTACCAAATAATTTTGTCGGCATAAAAGCGTTACTTTTAAAAAAGTTACAGTCATTTTTAACAAAGTAAAGTAATCAGACTGATCTATGACTTTTAGACTGATGATCTTGACTGATTCGTTTGTCAATTTTCGGGTTTTTACTTTGGAGATAAATAAAAGTAAAATGAGATAAATTAAGTTAGTTGTCAGAATTAAACTTTGTCTCTAAGTACTGGAAAGTTCTGGAAAGTCATTGATCAAATTTCAAAAATGTCTCGATTTATTGGTGACAAATAAAATTCTTGAAACTTGTGTTTTAATTCTGTTTGAGTTTGAATGTCTGTATTTTCTAATTGCAGTAAGGTCTTATTTTCTAATTGCTAATTTTGTGAATAATTTCAAGATATCCAGTTTATATAATTCATTTCTTTCACCAAAAGTGTCACTCGTTCCATATTTTGTCTCTTAATAACAATAAACAAATCAATGAAAAAGTTCTCAATATTGGCTTCACTTTAATAAAATGATTAAATTGTTTGACCATCACTTTTTGCTGAACAACGCTTTGGTATTCAAAACTTTTTCTTTGCAAATATTTTTCAAAAGTAAAATACATCCATTGAGTTGCTATTACTAGTTCTTTGATTTCCATTTTAAATTTTTACCATTGATTTTTTATAGATTTTCAGCGCTAAAAATGATCCAGATATAAGGTTTGCAACTGACAGTGTCTAAGAAGATCTTGGACTCAACATCAAAATTTTTATTGATATGCTTTATGTAAGTTAACATCTGAATATTGCCAGACATTCAACAACTTTTGTTAATATGTATTAAAAAGTATTTTGAGAAAGCAAAAAGGCAACGATGATCTATTTAAATACATTATAGATATTCTTAGTATTTTTATTCACATTGGCAGCCATTTCTAAATCTAGGAATTTTTTTTTATTAAAACGAATAAATTTTTATCATTGATTGCATTTCTTCATGTTTTTTGACAAACAAAATTTGTCTAAAAGCTAGTTGAGATGAAGATGTTACTTGAGCTTTTTTTAAGTTAAAAATAAAGTTAAAGAAGTCAAAACTTGTTATGAGAGAAGATTTTTAATACTTAATTTTTTTTTACAATGTTTCAACATAGCAACAACAAAGCAACAACATAGCAGCAACATAGCAACAACATAGCAGTCTCCTAAAAACTGTTCAGATTAAGTTTTAAAGATTGAAAATGAATAAACAGGAGTTGTTTTACCATTCATCTTTAAATAGCTCTGCTTTAGTTCTTTTTTTCTTTCTTTCTCTTTTTTGACGATTAAACTTCTTCTCTCAATGTCATTTTAAATTTAAAAATAGTAATTTAAAATTTAGTATGACAGTTTAAAATTGTTTTTCTTTTGTACAGCGTTGAACTAATACTCACTATAAAAATATAAGTAATGTCAGTTATCTTATATATAAAATTACTGTTAACTTATATTAAAGTACTAACAGTTTTTTCTTTAAATCTTTACATTCAGTATTAGATTAAAATTTACAGTGAAATTTAACTTTTATTGGTTATTGTTTAACGGAGATTTAAAAGCAATTCTACAAGCATTTTTTTGCTCGCGGGCAATAGTTTGGCTGTCCTTGCTTTACAGCTGAGTTACCCGGTGGAAAATTGGCTAGCAATTAGCTAGCTATAATCGTAACGATAAAGACTGCGATATGGCCACGAGGATCGCTAGCCTTTTTAAGTTAACAAAATGTAATTGATATTTGTAAAGATAAAGACAGCAATTTGGCTACGAGGACAGCTAGCTTAATAAGCTAAAAGCCCACTAGCTATTGTAGCTTAAGTCATACCGTAATAAAATTGCTGTATAAAAAATTTTGATGTGTTAAGCTACAAACCGGCTATAGCTTTGTAGGTATTTTGCAGCTAGCTACAAAGCTACTATATGTAGCTAGCGACACATTGCTACAATATCGCTATTTAAAGTTCAATTATTCTTATAATTATAATAGGCTCAACACTAAAAATCGAATTTTTAAAGATTTTAGAGACATTAGGAAAAAATAAAATAAGAAAAACAAAATCGCTTGAAAATCGCTATAAAGCTAGCTCGTCGCTAGCTCATTTCCCACCGGATATTTTCCAATGATGTTGCGTATTTGCAAATTTTCCAATGATGTTGCGCATTTGCAAGTTTAGTGTATTTTTATCTAATATTGCAATAAATTAACCTTCATTTCAATTGACTCTCTATTTACATTAAAAAGAGCCGCGTCAGACCTGATTGAGTTTACAAAAAAACTATTATTGAGAAACAATTATGTCTGTTAACAGCATGCTCAGCTTTATCGTTATTGTCAAGATTTTCAAAATTACTTAAAATTCATCAATCAGTGTTTTTTTTTATTTGCTTGAAAGTTTGGAAAAGTTGTTGTCATTATTATCAGACAATATTAATGATAACAAATAAAAACTAAGACAACACCTACCATTGTCAGTTTAAGCAATTTGCTGCATCTTTAGCAAATAAATTTTATCAGCTGCCGGAACTTTTTCGCTGATATTTCATTTTTAATGATATATATTGCACTAATTATATATCATTAGTTTTGTTTTACGATTATGATTATAGAAGTATAAAATAGATTCTAGTGGAACAAAGCTGATAACCAACAACAAAAAAAAGTTCACAAAAAAGTATTTTTAATACAACTTTGGAAAATTTTATATTCTATGGATTTACGACATAAGGCCGGGTGAATAAAAATGAGCAATTGCTTTTACTCAATAATTGGTCAGCTTTACGTGAATAAAAACATTAGCAGTTTTGCTCAAATTTTTATTCACGTAAAGTTAAACAATTTACTTAGTGAATGTTCGGCTTTACGTAAATAAAAACTTAGGGAAAATTGATTTAGCTTTTATTCACGTAAAGCTGACCAATTACTGAGTAAAAGCAATTGCTCGTTTTTATTCACACGGCCTATTATTACAAACATTATCATTATAATTATTCAATAATATTTTTATGAAATCTTCTGTGAACATTTTGAACAAGTTGTTAGTCAA